AAGAAACCACCAACAGTGATGAGACAATCAACAGAGTGAGAAAAACATTTTGCCAGTTGTTCCTCAAAGGATTGATATCAATAATATATATATATATATATATATATATATATATCTCAAAAAATTAAATCCCCCAAATTTAAGTTAAAAAATTAAGGCCCCCCCAAATCCAAACATGGCATCTGAGATAAATAGACACTTCTCAAATGAAGTAGAAATAGAAAATACATTTATAAGAAACATATCTCACATCACTGGTCATTGCACAGATGCAAATTAAAACAATGCTGAGATTCCATCTCACTTCAGAAAGAAAGCCTCTTATTAAGAAATCAATAACAAAGGCTGATGGGGCTGAGAAGAAAAAGGAACCTTTCCACTACTGATGTGAGTGTAGACTGGTGCCACCATTGTGGAAATAAGTATAGAGATTCCTCCAAAAAGTGAAACTAGAGGTTGCATTTGAGCCAGGTATTACCCTTCTTAACATCTTCCCAAAATAATTAAAAGCATCATATCACAGTTATCACAGTGATATAAGCACAGCCATGTTCACAGTGGCCAGGTTTCTTTTGTTGTTGTTTTTGTTTTTTGAAACAAGGTTTCATGGTGAGGCTCAGGCTGGCCTTGAACTCACATGGTAGCCCAGGTTGGCCTTGAATTCGCAGCAATCTCCTGCCTCAGCCTTCTCAGTCTGAAGTGTTTCAGGCACTACTGTGCATTTAGAAATAAAGAATCCAAAACATGGAACCAGAATTACCATAAAGCCTGAATCTGCTGGCAAAGCCCATATTTTAGCTGTAAATGTTTTAATATCAGTTAGTGGCTTATGTGCTTCAAATGTAATACAACGCATCATTAATTTTGTAGTTTTCATTTCTGAAAGCTATAAATTAAACATTCTTATTGTCTTAATTTTCTGTAACCTTTAATAACATTTGTGAAAGAACATAACAGAGATGAAATTGCTATTGGCTATAGAACAAAGGCATTCTAGGAATATTTTATAAAGACATTTCTTTCTCTTTCACTCAAAGTAGTCACTGGAAAGACCACATGTTTTAGGCATCTAAAATTCATCGTTTAAATGTAGGGAAGTATGCTCAAAACCTTAACACCAGCTTGAATCTCCCAAAGAGGACATTGCGTATCTCAGGCAGGCTTCTCCATTTAAGACATGAATTCCACAAAACATCCATCATGCATATGAGTTTATGGATTATACCAGGAAACAGTGCGGTTGAACATCACTTATCTATGAATGAATTCTTTAGTTTATTTGGCTACTCATAGGGCATGTGTTCATCAGAAGTAAGGTGGACCATTTGACACAAAGTAATCTGGCAATTATAACCAGAAGATTGCTTTTCACTCACAGATTATACAGGGCCCCAGGACAGTTACTCAGGGGGATAGGAGGGCGCACATTGTTATCAACCACTTTGCTGTTTTGCTCTCTAACAACTTAGACAACATTATTTTATTATGTATGTATATATGTATATATATCTTATACATAAATATAATATTTAATATAATAAACATAAATATAATATATAATATATTTGCATAAATATATATACACACATATATATAATGTTGCATAAGGACAATGGCTATCATATTTATTCTAGTCAAGATCAGGCTCCATAAAAAGGGGCTATGGACTCGCGCTCTTTATCATGTTATTTTTCATAAAAAGCTGTCATTATACACATTTTGTAAAGATATAGAAGCTACATTAGGGAAGTTAAGTAGTTTGCCTAAGGTCACATCATATGTATGGCTCCTGGTTCCAGAATGTTCCTCTTTCTGTCACATTACAGTTCATGCCTTAGACTGATTAGTTGTTGTTTTAGTCATTGCTTAATTAAGTTCTGTGAAAAGTATTATTCATAAATAAAACACAAAGCCATTCCCTCTCCTAGAACAAGAATAATCTTGTGGAGCTGGTTTTAAGTTTGTAACAGTGTACATGGGGCATAAACTGATGCTCTAAATGTTATGTTTCTCCTTGCCCTGCCGTATTCCTGATGGGCCCTCAAGAAGACTATAAGCCTGGTTCTTCTCATTGTGGGCAGCTGCTACAGGTTTTGTCCAATTCCTTAACTACTTTGGAAGTTCATTTAACATTAAAACAGGACAGACAATGTAAAAAAAAAATTAGACAGTAGAACTAAGCTAAAATTTGTGCTTCAAAGGGACAAAAAGAAGGGCAGGGTTATTATATTTGAAAGGACATCTCTCATACTTTCTTTTTCTGTCATTTATATCTGGTCTCATTCCAAAAAGGATTTTGTATTGGGACTTGAAAAGAACTTTATCTGAATTTGAGTTTAAAAAGACATTGATTTACATAAAAGACAAGTAGAAAAAAGAAAAAATGTAGTAATATGTGAATATATTGAAAATTAGTACTTTTCCTATTGGTACACATTATATATTTCCAGTATAATGTTAATTGTAAATTATTATATTTATTACTAAAGATACCAGCTTAAAGTGGATATGGACAAAATATAATCAGAAAGAAGGGTTTATTAAAATACTATTAAAGCTAGCTTATTTTTCTAGTGAAAATATTATTGTAATTGGGAATCCTGTGATGTTTCTTCTGGTGGAACTGGATCTAGGATAATATAGTCACTTTGGAGGAAGAGTTTTAAGTTTTTTATTGCTAGAATGCTCCAAAATTATAATAACTCCCTCAAAATGTAGCAAATGCATATGGTAGTTTAGTGCCAGTTTTCTGAGATAAGAAGACAATTAAGCTGAAGTTAATATTTCTTCTTAACTATCAGAAAAATATTTGGCAGCAAAACAGCTCATAGAATCCTGAAGCATAGACCGAGAAAAGTTCCAACAGACAAGAGACATCCTGGCCCAATTAAGGACCGCAACATAAACTACAAGTCTTGCACAAGTCTTGCATAGTGATAAACTCTTAACAGGAACATATTCCTAAATCCAGCGGCTTCCTCTGCTAATACATGAACATCTATAAATTCAGAGTGTTTTTTTAAAAAAAGAGCCACAATAAAGAAGCACTAGAAACTAAAAGCTTTGTTTGATACTGGAGAGCTATCAAAGAGATGTATCTGTCTTTGAGGCAGTTGTATCAATCCTTTCTTGTAGGGAAGATGCTAGTTGTCTTTTGAGCATCACTGATTTTCTTCTTGCATACAAGGTTATAGAATGATGCCTAGATGTAAATTTCAGATTTTGAACTGAACAAGAGCATGGATGTGCTGTTATAGTAGCTCCCCACTTCTGGATGCTTGAGCATGGGAGAGGAAATTCACTTTCTACCACATTCAAGTAAGGGGCAAATACTCACATGGAAGAAATGTTACAGAGAGGCAACTTTTACAAGAAAACAATAGGAATAGGAATAGCACATATGTTGCAGGTTTCTGTGGAGATTATTGAGGAAATACCTGTGAATCATACACTTCAAAACTGTTAACTAATATGTTGTAGGGCTAGCTGTTGCTCAACTCTTTTGTTTCTTTAATAATGTTATCCTTTCTCTGTCTTCTGTCTCACTGTCATCTCTAATTCTATTTCTGTCTCTGTCTATCTCCAACTCCTTCAAATTAACAAGAATCTAAATATAAGGGATGTACACAGAGTTTCCTTTATGAATCAGAACTGAACATGTACTCATGTAGAATGATTCTTATAACTCCATGGGTATTTGATGCTTCTGTAAACATTATGAATTACGAAGCAAGAATATGTAAATAGCTGTTTTCCATAGCTATTTCCACAGTGTTGTTATGAAAATATTGAGTTTGAGTAGTAAAAATCCAGTTTTTCTTTTCTCAAAGGGTACTACTCATTTTAGCTTAATGTTCATGTGTATTGCAGTTCTGCAGATGATTTGAGATGGATATCAACTCATTTCCTTACATAATCTTAAACTTTCCAAATCCCATTTGAAATACATTTTACTAAATACATATAATATTAAACATATAATTAGGTCTGTACTATTGAAAGGCCTTTAAAACAATTTCTGGGAATTCCGCAATTTCCTGAACAGTTTATGCCTGAAGCAGGCTTCACAGCTATTTAGTAATAATAAAAAATACTGATTTCAAACAAAGGGTCTGTTTGTGAGTGGAGTTACCATACACTAAGCTTTTTGTTTGACTTTTCTTATATATAAATGAACAGATCACGTTGCAAAATTTTCATGCAGCATTCCACTAAATTACCAACTGATGTACATGGCTGAGAAGAATAAACTTCAAATGCTTATTCCAAGCACACAAGAAGTTTGGAACATCAAAGTTAGCAGCAAGATAGAAAGCTAGATTCACATCATTTCAAGAAAATCACACTGTTAATGAGCAGACACACCTCCACTGTCTACAAAGTGATCACCAACAATCTGCTAATGTCTTTATACATGAAACAGATTTATCTAGGCTCATGTACACTTTTCAAAGTTTACAGAGCAATATTTAAAAAGAAGTTGATTTACATACGTTTTTAAAGCAGTATCCAACATGTACTAACTGTAATGTATTAACTTGACAAATAATTAGCAACCACAAAATTTAAAAAATTAAGAAATATCAAAATCTGTATTAAAATACTCCAAATTCCCCACCAGATTTTAGTCATTCTTTAAAAAAGTTATTTTAATATTTTAAAAGTACATATCTAGGTAGAATTACGTTAAGAAAAAGAACACACTCAAAACCTACTAATATACTCAAAAACTATCAAAACATCTTTACATTTAATTATTGGAAGCTCATAGAAGTGTTTCCTGTACTAAGGGAGCTGTATGTGTGAGTAATAAATGAAATTGTTAATATTACTGTTTCCCAAGGGAAGAGGAAGAGATGTAGGAGTACACTATTTAGCTCTCCAGCTGGACTGTGGCTTACATGCAACGATCAATCCTAAACGTGTTGCTCATTAACTCTACTTCAATCCACTCCCATTTTTAGAATTTAAAAAACACTGTGACTCGTGGGATAACTCACCATTCATATTCTTAAAGATGTTCAGGATGGGGAGGATTTGACGATAGTAGGGCACTAAAGCCTCGCCTACCATCTCAGCGGACACAACCAGATGCTGGAGGACTTTGAGGGTCACACAGATGACTTGTCGATTTCGGAGGTTCAAGGCATCTGAACAGTAGGAAAAGAGCAAGTAGAAAAGGTCAAGCATGAATTCCACAGTGTATCACCGATGCGTTTAAGTAAACCACGCTCTATGAGGGATGGCCAGTGAGTCTGTATTACAATAGCTTTGAATGATGTGCTGCAGCCCCAGTGTTGTAAACAGGATCTGTTTGACTATTATTTACATGCTTACTTATACTGGCTCCCACCGTCCCTAAGAATGCAGCTCATTTTCCCATAAGAGAAGAAGCTAACGGTCTGAGAGGGAATACAGGGAGAAGTGGATGAAAGATAAAAGATCACCGAATGTCACTGAACTTAATGGTCACTGCGCTGGTTGACAACAGATATTTTTTTTTAATGCAATGATATCTTTCAGCTGATAATACAAACCATTCTTAAAGCCATTGCCATAGGACAAATTATTATTTGGGAAGAAGGGCTGGATATGTCGTACATGTACAGAAACTATAAACTGGTTACCAACACAGATTATTCTCAGTAGATATGAATATAAAGTAACTAAATATAGACTGTCAAGAAAATAGGGAACAAAAGCCAAACTTCTAAGTGTTCAATGAGAAAGACTTGACAACAATAAGGTATAAGAGAACAAAGGGTTAGAAACTGTTTTTAAGAACAGTTATGAGAGCAAAGCAACAAGTTGCTTTGTAGAGAAAAGATAAGGGACTGTATATTGTGTGGTAGATCCACACTAAAGAATAGAAATGTACCATTTGCTCAAAAGAGGAATGGAGAGGGTCGGGAATCAGGACAGTGATCACTGGCCGTGTGAAGCTTGGCAACTCACCGACAACTTCTTGCCATAGTCTCCTCAGTTATGGAAATCATTATTCATTTTCAAGCACTACATTAAAATGATTTAAATGAAAGAGCTGTCCAGAGCATGTATTATAGAAGGTCGGAGGTGGGGACGGGTAAATTGTGATGCCTCAGACTTCCAAAAAGTCGAAATCTCTTATTTTTAAAAGGTTCTACCTTCTAATGACAAAGATTGCCCATGATCCTATGACCTTAAAGCATATGCCAGAGGGAACTAGGTTACCAAAAGGGATGATACTTGGGTCAGTGCACCCAGGAGGAAGTGCTGGTGTCGTCCTTGAACTCTAGCTCATGTTTTCAACAGCCCTCAAACATTCCAGCACCTGCAATTAGGCGCCACAGATACAATTTCCTCTGTGAACTATCTTTTTACTATGTTCTTTATATTTAGTAATGATGAAAGTTGGTTAGCTCCTAGTCACTCAGTGTCTTTCTCATTCTTGACCTTTATCATGTTGTGAAGTATTCTGCACTATCCTTAAATTTGTGCTTTCCTCTATATCTTCACCTCTACTCGTATTTCTTGATTTTCAGCATCTGGTACTTGCCTCTGGTACTGGATCCTCATCCTCCTCCTCTCTCTTCTGGTTTGGGTCTTAATCCTTACTTCCACTCCTGTGGTCCCAAGTTGTCATCCTCACCCGCACCCTTCTCATCCTGGCTTTCATTGCCACTTCTTTTCTAGTCTGGATCTCTGTCCCCACCTTCTTTCCCCTGGACCTGAGACCTAATACTCTCACTTCTCCAGTGCTGGGTTCTCATGCTCACCTGTGCTGCTCTTAGATCCTCACTCCCCTCTCCCCCTGCTCTTCTGGGCTTAGGTTGTCATCCGCACCCGCAGTCTCCTCATTCTGAATCTTCATCCTCAGCTGCCCCCTTCATCCTTGGGACTCCTCCACTGGAATACCTGCCTGTACTCTAACAGACCTCTTTGCTTTCTGATTTTTCTCCACTGTTTCACCCTGACTTTTCTTTCTGCTGCTGATCATCCTCCACCTGCTCACAGTCTGCTCACCCTGTTTTCTAGAGTGGAGCACAAACTAACCAAACACAAAGGAGGTATTTAGGGTAAGTTTGAATTAAATTAGATCTTTAGTTAAAAGTCCAAGAATATAAAGTACTATTTAGTGGCTTCACGGCTATTTCCTGTGGAATCACTAGGAAAGTTTAAAAACTAAATTGTACGTCTCTTCACTTCTCCCAACAACAAAGTAGGGTTTGGGGTATGAAAGCCCTGGACAGCAGCCCCACAACTTCTGGTTCAGTCAAGCCTGCAGTCTTGTTTGATTTGAAAGTAAACACATATGTAATGAATAGAGATGGCTCAGCCTCAGCTCAGAGAACTCACCTAAATATAACTATAGAACTCCATAACATCACGGCTCATTATTACAGCATTTAGACACATTGCAGGACATAGCATATCTTCGGACAAACAACTAAAAATGGAATACTATAATTTAGTCCACAAGCCCTAGAAATGAGACATTTAAGTACAAAGATTCAGAGCAGCACAGGCAGGCAGAAGAGCAGGGGCATGTGGTGTGGTGCACAGAAGTGAATGGGAAATGTATTTTGCTGGTCTTAATCTAAAAGTTGTTTTGTTTGTCCAGGAAGAGTCAGCTCAGTTTACCTTAAGAGCACAGGGATCCTGCATGCATACTGTTGTGAGAACAGCAGCTGTAGACATTCTTCTGAAGAATCTATCAATGAGGCCCAAAGCGTTTAAGACTGTGCAGATGTGTGCCATGATTCATAGCCCCAGTAGCTGATATATATGGAGCACCTCTACATGGAAGAAATTAAACTGAGTACTTTATATAGATTCATTTACTAATCCTCCTTCACCAAACATTTACTGAGAATATATTATATGTCTACAACTGCCCAGGAATTGAAAGGACAGAAATGGAGTAAGACAAATAAGGCACCACTTGCTAGGAGTTTTTAATATGATATGGAGGAAGATATTAAAAAGTTTAATATCTTAAATAATTTACACTGTGCTGATTCTTCCTATGACGAGTAGGATATTTAATCCGCCAATCACAGGGGCACCTAGCCCCGTCTGGAAATAGGGAAGCTCTCAGATGCAAGAACAAATCCCAGTGATTAGGTGAAGAGTTTCCAGAGAAGGGAGCAGTATATTAGGAAAAAGGAGTTCTTTTCATTTGATGTTCTGCCTCAGCTTGTGTGGATGAGATCCCACTAAGAAACCTGGGCTCACAGTCCTAAGAAATAAAGAGACATTCTGACTGGTTTTATCATATAATGAATATGTCTTTCTTGGGATCATTTAGAAGCAATAACTGGTATGTAGGAGTGTAGGCGTGTATAAAAGGAGGGTGAGGCTGTAGCAGTTTTTCCAAACTTGAGGACCCTGAGTTCCATCTGGCCTAATCAACTAGATAGAATCAGAGGCTTGAGATTCTGAGTTTTCTGCTGCTCCTATGCATGCCTCCATATCATCTCACTCCTTACAAAGGATGCAATGCCATATCATGCCATATCAGAAACTGTAGGCAGGAAGGTCTAAATTTGGGAACAGAATAACATGGGTGTGTTGATTGTGTTTTTTAATATTTTAAAACGAGTGAATGATCGAGTATGTATACAAGTGCTTACAGTTATATCAATTTGTGGATTTAGTTGATTACAAGGAAGCTTTAATGTTGATACCATGAAGTCTTAACTATGACCTATGGGAGGATTTAGAAGAGATAAGTATCTGAATTGGGCGATTGTGAAAAGATTTTGGTGACTGAAGTGGCTCTTGGATGTTGGATTATCAATGTTTTTCTTTCAAGATGTGTATGACAAGCTTGCATAAAATAGCCTAGAATGTGCCTGTGGACTCTGATTATTAAAGAAATGTTTTGAAATATGGAATACATTAAGGAATAAACAATATGCAAATTTATATATGTATATATAAACAGCATTGAATTTTTGTTGATTAGGTTTATGCCCATACGTATAGCTACTTGGTCACTTTGGGGGGATATGTTAATGATCTCTTTCAGCACAAATGGTGATAGTACTTATGAAGAAACAGTTCAATTGCAACCTTGATTGAACTAACATGGTTGTGATGAATATTATTGGACTGACAATGACCACAAGTAAAATGCCTCAACTATTGCACTTAATGATACCTAAAAAACGATGCTAAATCATTTAAAAAGAGGAGATAATGGCTCTAGAATCTATGCAGTGGTTGTGAAATAAAGTCACAGTATACTTTATAAAGACCCCTTAAGCTATCCAAGAGGGATTTTTTACACCACCAATTTCTACTTGTTACTCTATTTTTCTTCCTCATTCTTAGGAAACTAAGACACAGCTCTGAATTTGGAAGTCTTTTTTATTCTTATTGTCCCAATAGAATTAAAGAAAGATGATTTGGGGGAAATTAAACATTACTTTCCTTTGAAAGAGTATGTTAACAGATATAATATTATTCTTTAGCTTTGAAGAGATGAAATGTGTTTATTCCTGTGTTGATGGTCCCAAAAGCTATTGTCAAGACATAAGTGAAGACTTAGAACACAAGATTTAAAGTTTTGAAAGGGTCTAATGTGAGGAATCTACTGACATTATAGAACCTTTCTATTGAGAAAATTGGATTCTATTGTACTGTTTACTACCTTCAACTATAATCAAGAAAACAGAGCTTCCAGGTACAGATAGATAGCTAAAAAATAAGTAAAAATAATTTTAAGTCAAAGTGGTAAAATTTATTCATTCTAGATGGTTATAAGCTACATGTATGACTTTCTCAGGCATAAAATCCATTACTGCTATGATTTTTTGCAAAGTGAAAACATTTTCTGCTATTAGATATGATTTGCTACTGTGGAGTCAGAAAGTAGAAACACTTTTACTCATTCTTTATTTTAAAACTAGAAACAATACACAAAAGGAAAAGCAAACAATAAATTCTAAGAAATACTTTGACATGCTATTTGTTATATCCTTACTATACAAATCGTTATCATCATCCAATAAAAGAACCTATCAGTCCCATTAAAAAAGGGCTAAAGATCCAAGCAGATAATGCACAAATTAATAGATACAAAAGAACAGTTAATATTCCAGAATGTTCAAATTAATTGGTAATCAAACAAAATATGGCATCACATTATAATTTGAGTATTATATTA